GAAAGTAGTTTGAGGTAGCGAGATGGGGTGGGGTCTTGTACACCTTCTTCTCCAAGATGCGATACGCCTGTGCGCTTTGATCCACTAGGAATTCCTAAACTTACCCCATTCTTAATCCATCCATGGAGCTGTTCCTTCTGTATCCCCACATATAAGAATCAATGTTATATCTACTACACATGCGCAGCCCCATTAGCTAGCTCTTTGTAACCCCATCCATTTAGGTTGATGGCAATTTGTAACCCCATACATTTTATTGATGCTAAGGGCCATTACCCACGCGCTCTTGCAATCTTATACGTTTGCTACTGACTATCAAGGATTTCAGTATCTCAAGATCAATACAAAGTGCTGCATAGTTCTTTTCCCGTTCCCACACAGGGTTGAAATAGGAGCTTGAACACTCACTTTATAACGGGCGATCAAAAATGAGTTGCTGTCGAGTCGCCTTTGGACCATGTAAACAAAAATTCCAAAGGTGACTCGACAGCAACTCATTTTTGATCGCATTGTATTACGTAAACTAAACGAAGACACGAATACCTTATCCCAAACTTTTTTAGCATTGGAGATGCTTATGTTTTGTGTATGGATATGAAGTTACCAGTTTCGTCAAGAGGAAAAGAAGCCAGTGGTGTCGCATCAAGTGTTGATTGTATCGTAGAAGAAACTACGGCTAAACTGATTACGAGCATGTTAGGAGGCTTATTATTTAGAAAGTGTACGTTGTGACCCCGGGTGAATAAGGGTTATTTGTATTTTACATATGGCGTTATACGGTAATCATTTCCAATGTCTCTTGCAAGGATTGCGAAATCTGTGAATTTTTTCTAATATTTTAATTATTTTGCTTTAAAATCACGCAAACTTCAGCGAAATGTTATAAACAATGTTTACTGAATGGGCCCATTTCCTCCTTCCACAATTCAATATACAGTTGTTGCACGAAATTGCGTGTCAATACCACACGTGTATCGCATAAGATTACATAAAAACTGAAATCGTGGCTCTGAAAGAAAAGAGTAAACAAAAAATCAATTTGCACTTAATTTTAGGCCGTAATTGTAAAACGTGACATTCCTCGAATCGCTACAGCAAGTCGCTTTATATATAGACCCTTTCCCAAAAATTCGATTGCATTCTTACTTCGTTCGAAATTTATTCTTTCGACTCGCTATTAAATCGTCCTTATACAAGTTTTTACAATATTGCGACCATAACTCAATGTGAATGAGCTTTCTCGCTCTATCAAAACGCTTTATCAACGTCAGGGACGGCTTATAGGTACATTCTTACATGGCCAAGAAATATGAACTAAAAAATAATTATGGAAGAGCAAATAAATCATTTCGCTTGCGAAATTAATCCCGCGCTCTTTATCAAAGAAATCATTTGGCGGACTGCAACCCTCGAGTATGGTGTAAATGGGGAGATTTCTCTCGAGAAGCGGGCGTGTGTGAGATTTAAGAAAACTAAACGTTTCCGTTGGCAAATTTTATAGGCGACCTGCAAATATTTGCATAATTTCGCCATTAAAGTAACAAGCGACGTGGTATTAGAGTTACAAGCGATGGGAAAATAATCGGCGTATTAAAATTTTATGTCCTAACGAATTTATTAGCAATAAAAAAATGATTATACCAAACAATCTGATGCTTCGAGTTTTTGCAAGTCGCGCTAGATGCCCTTTGGCTATGATCTCGATTTAAAATTGCCAATTTTTTTCTAACGGAGTACCATTATGTGACATATTAAGGATGGGAAAAAAGTTAATTACGGGTGTGTCACGCTTGCCACAAATTTAAACGTGATTAATGTCCATAAATGAGACTAGGAACGATTTAACCGGGTCGAAACGTATTATTAATATTGGTTTTGTGCGTGGACGATGCGCAGTAGGGAAAAACCGGTCGAAACTATGCACTGGCTTCTTTCGAAGAATTTTTGGCCAAGCTCTCGGTACCGGTAACCGCTGATATCGAGTTAAATCAGAAATGTCGCCACTTAACTACGTATGGATATGACGTAGCTTTCAGGAATTAGTGCGAAATGAATTCCACTGGAATTGCTCAGAAATCTTAAGGCATTGCGGTTTTTTTGTTGGTCCTTCCGATAATTCCTTGGTTTTATATTACAATTCGCCGAAACTTTTTGCTGATGTAGACCCTAGTTGAGAGGGACACAAAAACTCGATATACAAAAAAAGCATTTTTTCTAAATAGCACATTTGGTTTACCCAAAATACAAGAGACTCTAAATTTACGGGGTTTTTAAAAACACGTGACAAAATTTCGAAACAATAATAACTAACCGCTTTAAATCTAAAAATAAACCTATCTTTCCCCAATACTACCCAAATTAAAACTATATACACCAAGTTCATAATTATATTACCTACATCTAAGAGTATAGTAAAGGGCAAAATGACTCGTTGTATCTCCATGACGATTATGAAGATCGTTTTGAAGTTAAATTATACTTCCAAAGAAAACAATGGTGTAGTAGTTGTGATGGTGTAGTAGGTTGAAGGGGCGTATGTGAAAAATAAAGTTGCAAAACTAAATACAACATTCAAAATCAAAAACCTATTAGAACTCTGCAAATTCACCGTGCAACAAAAATAGGATTGTGTTGATCATGCCACGAAGATAGAAGCTATGTACTTACTGAGAAAATGAAAATTTAATAGATGTCTGAATAGAATGATTACGAACATGACTACTTTGATGACCATAAAGATCTGGAAGCTGATAGTGAAATCCCGCTTTATAAGAATCGTTGGACGGAATGTGTAACGTTACAATGCACGATTCTCCTCCCAGCTCGGCTCCAGCTGTTTCTACTATCTCGTTCCGTCACACTACATTAATTTCTGGTCATTTTTTTATAAGTGATTCGCTATAGCTTTTGAATATAAATGCCTAAAAGCTAGGGGTAAACAAGTACCATTTTTGCTGTACACCAAAAATTCAAAATCAAATTAATTCACGTTAATTCAAGTTTATAAATTCAAACTCCTTCACGCTAATTTAGATTAATTCACTTTAAATCAAATTAATTCACGTTAATTCCAAATAATGCACGTTAATTCAATTTAATTCACGTTAATTTACATTAATTCGGGGTAATTAAAATAAATTAACGTTGATTCAAGTTAATGCACGTAAATTCAAATTAATTCACGCTAATTCAAATTTATTCACTTTAACTCACATTAATTCACTTTAATTCCAGTTAATTCACGTTAATTCAAGTTAATTCACTTCAATCCGAATTAATTCACTCTAGTTCAAATTAATTCAAGTTAATTCAAATTAATTCACGGGAATTAGAATTTTTCTTTAATTAATTTCTAGGTTCACTGTCATCCCAAACATCTAGCAAATGACTTACAATTCATGTAACTATGCATACTTAATTAACCGGGTTGAAATTCCAAAATTCCGTAGTCCAATTAACATCCATTGTTGATTGTAATTCTCGAGTCAAACGAGATATCTTTTATCTATCTACGGTGACCTTGCTAGTTGTAATCCTGGTTTTAAAGTAGTATTGGGAAACTAAACCCCGAAAGCCGATCTAAAAAAGCGGAACAGCACCTTGGTTTGACCTACTAGGTCATTGGATTTGACGCATTTTCAATAGACTTGCTACATGTGACATATACGTCAACTGTGCAAAAGTTTGAACCGAGTCGGTCCAAGCGTTTGGCAGTTCACGGACGGACAGACGGACACCATCGACTCCCATCGCTTTGCACTGCCGCTTAATAATGGACGCCAGATCGATTTCATGCATATACCGTGCGTTCATTAAAGCTGGTGATTGCAAATGCGAAAAATGATGCTTTGTTACAACCCCATACGATTGTTCCGTTTTTATAAATGAACGCTCTATTTACTAAATGATTAATTCTTCGTTGCGTTTTATTTACCACTTGTGACATAAGTAAACTGCTCAATTGAATTAACTCGCCATTTTTTAATTAATTAAATTCCGCATCGCGTATTGTTACTTAGAAAATCGAAAAAGAAAAACTTCCACGTTTTTACGCATCTCCCTCGGTTCGCGTGCGCTCAGCTATTTATATCAAACTGAAAGGTGAACCAACTCAACTTTGTAGTTTGCCGTCTATTTGAAACGAATAGCAAAGTAGCATCTTTTGTTTTTAATGCAATTTTCAGAGAACCGTTACTTCAGTGAGCTATGGTAACAAACCACGCGTTCTAGATGCGTATGTTTATCGTTAATAACCGCGCCTACTACGTATACAGAACCCAATAATTGATTGGTATGATAAAAATATATTCCGCGACACATTAAATGAAAATAAAAACAAAATTCTTGAAATAAATGATACCCCGGACGCAGACGGTCGAAAATCTTAAAAATGTCGTAGTTTTTTTTTGCTCTTAAGAATCTTAAAATTTTGTTAAGACCACTTTTACACTGGGATACTGTATGCGACATACAGTTTGCCGTCAGAATGTATGTCAAATACACTTCGCAGACTTTGGGCATTTTAAACTTCTCTGTCGCACTGAAGTACTTGTTCGGCGACGTAGTGGCGAGCAAATGGAAAAGTCTCCTGGTGTAAACAGTTCCAATGAACCAGTTCTTCAAAATTGTAAAAAAAATTTTCTTTGTGCGTGGTCATTATTTGGCAGAATTTTAAAATTTTTGTTATGGTACGTTGGCAAGTAGTAGTTTTGAATACGGCCCTGCCTGTTAAATAATGTTGAGAAATTATTACGGCTGGCTGCGGAAATTCTGGCTTTAAGGCTCAATTCTGACCTCACTGACAGCTGCAGTAAACATTTTACGAACTTTACTCTATTATCGAGATTCATTGACTGACCTCTCTAGAATATTTGTGAAAAAAGACTCTTTATTGAATGATCGAATGAAGAACAATAATTAATGATTCCAAACATTTATAACAAACATAACAATCGGCTCTTTTCAGAGCCACAGAATGTTTTCAAATGAAACTCAGGTCATCAATTGTTCTTCATTTAATGAAGTTTAAAATAATAGCATTTAGTTCCAAAACTCGATGACCCACTTGGTTGAATTTTTGGCCGGTGTAGATTTTGAAAAAAAAAGCGATTTTCTTGATTTCAATAATTTAAAATAACCATAATAATACAGCTTTAGGCTTTTTATCATTATTTTTAGGTTTGGTTTATGTGCAGTTGTCAGCTAATTTTCTCCGCGTATAGGAATACCCCATTTTCTGGTTGTAAAATGAAAGTTTTCACGTTATACTGTAATGGCGAATGTGTTTTTGGATGCAAACGAAACCGGTAATGTTTTAATAGGGCCACCATGGTAACTTTCATGCTCATTATCGCCAGCTTGCTACCTTTAAAAAAATCATACGTTACTGAGATTAGCGTTTGAACTCACCAATGCAATGCCTCGGGCCGGCACCAAAGGGCAACCAAGAGCACGGGTGTCGCCCTCTAAAATTTTCTTCTGAAAATCGTTCTGGATCGAAGTTTTGGGGATTGGGGTAATATTCGGGATCCCAGTGAATGCCTCGTATCGGTATGTAAACCTCACTACCTTCTTCCAAGACTATGTTTGAGTCAGGTACGTGAAACGTTTTCGTACACTCGCGAGTTATTATCGTTGCCGAGGGATATTTTCTTAAAGTTTCTAAAAGCAATATGCCCACGAGGGTGACTATCAGCTATCAACTTACCCTTAATGCATTTGTCTAATAGGGTAAGTGATACGACGGAATTAAAGCTGAGGTTATCGAGCATGTTAATTTCTGCCCGAAGCTTTTCTTGCAGTTCCATGTTGTATGCCAACTCGTATAAACAAAATGTCAATGTAGTGCTGGTGGTTTCATATCCCGCTAGAAACAACATTGTGACGTTACCAGCTATTTCAGCCCGTGCAAATTTGTCCGAAGTCCTTTGGGTTAAAGCATCCAGAACAACCTTTCTATCCGATCTACTTAGCTGCCGAGTTTGAACCATATCATCAATGAACATCATAAAAAATTCGGTCATCCCCTTTTTAAATGTCATAATTTTGAAGTACTTGAGCAACTTTGGAATTGTGATGAAAAATCGAATTAACGTATCCACGATTGAGGTGTTCAAGAATTTCTCCAATTGACGTTGCAAGTCGGAGTCTTTATTCTTCATTATCTTAAAGTCAATTCCGCTGATATAAAGCCCCATTAGATCAATGGCATATCGATCTAATACTTCTCTGACGTCCAGTGCATTTGGAGTCTCGGCGATTGATTTCACCAACTCGTCGGTCTTCCGAATCACAAATGGAAAAAAAGGTTTTAGTTGCACATTGCCAAAAAAAGGTGAGGTTTTGGAGCGCATTCTTTTCCAGTGCGCACCACGCGAGTGCAGCAAATTGGCAGTGAGGGGGTCGTTCTCAACGTCAAAATGCGACACGCGATTTATAAAGCAGTCGGAATTAGTTATAAGAATCGCCTTAATTAACTGTAAATCTGCAGGAATGAATACGGGTATCGTGAAATTGTAATATCCACCATATCTCTCCGATCTGGACTTGATCTCTGTATAAAGTTCGTAGACGTCAAAACCAAGTGGCATCCTTTGCAAAAAGGCGTTTTTGGAATTTCCAAACGGAAACTGCGGTTTCAGAGTGTGCACTTTTCTGTTCTTCCAGTAGTTGTAAATGGTACAAATCTTGAACACTGCCCATGCTACACTTGAGAGGCCTAACACACATATTGTTATCACAAAGGGCGTCATGGAGACCTATACTCTTGGTAATCTGAAGTTTCTCTATCCCTAGAATCACAGAGCGAAACAAGTAGAGACTACAAGTAACGGTTAAAAGCGTGTGCGTTGATGGTTTTTAAATAAACAATGTTCGTAATTTTTCTTATCTTTTGGCGATTAGCCAATGTTAATGTCACTAATCTAGCTTTATCATAAATTATATTTTTTTAATCAATTGTCCTAATTTGTATAAGTACTATTTAATAGTACTGCCCTAATTCATGTAGCATCAAGTTCAAAAATATAAAGGACAGTGAGCAAAACGTTTTCTAGTCAAAGATTGAGCTTGGTTTTGCAACAGGTAATTAGAAAACCAAAACTGCTCATAGTATAATAATTCTGATTTTATTTTCAACTGAAATTAGTTTTTGCAAACTTGCTTGCAAAGATCAAAATCGTCGCATCTCTGTTTCAGTCATAAATAAAGACAATGACCTAAATTTCAAAATATTCACATATATTTTAAACAAGTACAAATTGTGCACAACCCTTGTGCAGGTAAAGCGCATTTTTTTTAAACATCCCTACGAAATTTCTTCCATAAATAAGAAAGTTGGCACTGCACATCCTACACAAAACCAAATTTGGAAAATGGCGCTACATGTGCTTTTATTCCAAGTGGCTATGTATCAAATTTCATTTAAATCTCTTCATAAATAAGAAAGTTGGCACTGCGCTTGCGCAAACCCAAATTTTGAAACTGGTGCTAAATTTGCTTTTATTCCAAGTGGTTTAACGCCATTTGCCAAATTTGGTTTTGCGCATGCGCAGTGCCAACTTTCTGATTTGTGGAGGCATTCGAATGAAATTTGATACATTAGCCACTTGGAATAAAAGCAAATGTAGCGCCATTTTCCAAATTAGGTTTTGTGTAGGATGTGCAGTGCCAACTTTCTTATTATGGAAGAAATTTCGTAGGGGTGTTTAAAAAAATGCGCTTTACCTGCACAAGAGTTGTACACAATTTGTACTTGTTATGTCTGTTAGTGTTTGTTGCACAACCAACGTCTGTGTATTGTGTCCTGCACAATTAAAAGGAATTTATGGGTGTTTTATGGGTGGAAAAAGGTTGCGTCCCGGAATTGCTGTCACTCTAAAATAAAAAGTAGCGGAACTTTGGTGTTCGCGTCGAATCGCAAAAAAACAATGCGCGATGAACCGGGAGCGCAGTTAAGTTGGTTACTTGAAAATTACTGTGGGGTGGTTTTTTGTGTGGAAGTTTTCGCGTTGAGCCGCGGGCTATGTGAAATCAACCACCTACATTTGGCGAAGGATGTGTTTTATATGTATTAGAAAAACTCGCGGGGAGCCGAGAACGAACCACCGGCAATTTATCACAGGGTGGATTTATTTTGTGTTGTTTGAATTCGTGTTGGGTCAGCGAAGTTAAGTCGACCATCTGTAATTTATCGCAGGGTTTTTTATACATGATGTAACTACGGAAGGGGTTAATTCTTTGGCTTATTTTATGACAAAAGTTCATATAAGCATAGGTGCGCAAACGCTTCGTTACCGAGCCACAAGGTGCCCAGATTTTTTTTATTTTTTTTCATAAGTATATCTCTTGCAGTGTTTGAGATATTTCCATAAAATTTGAAATATAAGTTACACTTAAGGGCTTACATCATTGGTCCTGTGAATAGTAGTGGGAATCTACAAAGTGTTGTTTTTTCAAGGTTCATATTCCATTTTCTACCCCTGAACATTTTTTCGGCGCGCCACTGGAAGATTGTGAAATTTGTTGGTCTCGTAATTTTTAGCGCATTTTTTAAGAATTAAAGAAAATGTGCTATTGTTTGCGTCTTGCCCGTCCGTCCGGACCCACTTATGCCGTTGCGAACTACTTCTAGCGGAATGGTCCTAGACTCCTGGAATTTTTTGCAGTAGGTAGCCTATACCAAATTTCGTTGTCTAAAAGGGGGGTCCTCCACGAATTATTTCCTGAGATGCTGTTTTTTAAAGTAAAACGTGCAGAACTTTTACATACGACAACCAATTGATCTCAGATTTTGCATACGCATGCCTTTAGTGGCGCCAAGTTAAACTTTAGAAAATGGGGGTGGGGGTGGGGAGTAAATACATGTTCTACCCTTCATGGTATTCTAATGAAATAAATTGGTTTGTACAAACTATAACTTTCCCGTGCAAATCTTTTTGGAGATCAGTGAGCGACGGGGCCTGGGGGAGGGGGTGTTAAAAATTAATGCTATCTCTCATCGTATTCTAATTAAAGGTCTCAACGAAAGGAACCGTTTTCTACCAACTACTGCCCTTCTTTCTGTCCTCTTATCAAAGGGGAGGAGGGGGTGTGAGGGGTGCACAATTTATACTTATTTCGTAGCTGTGACTGTTATCGAGGAACAAAACAAAAATCAATTTTCTGTAGTTAGCTAAATAAAAGTGTAAGTTTTAAATTTACAATGGCCCAGTAAGCCTTGACTTTATTTGGATCTTGTTTTTATTAGTTTTGACTGTTGACATTTGAAATTGTATCTTGTGTTTACATAATATGTTTATAAATTAAAGGTTTAAATTGCAAAGTGTACTGTAGAACTTTTACAACCTGTAGGTTGCTATCGGATGTTTGCGGACCTATTTTTATATGAACTTTTAGGCATAAAATAAGACAAAGAATTATTCCCTTCCATATTTACATCATATTTAGGAACACCCTGTATATTGGCGTGATACTCTAATAATTTGCTGTATTTGCTTGCCTAAAAATGGTGTGCTCTTATGGTAACAAACTTCAAACACGTAAAATTTTGAATGAAAAACTATTACGGTAAATGCGGACAGTGGTGGAAATGTTAACCCACAAAGATAAAAAACGGGGCGATACAGTTTATTTGGCGAGATGGGGAATATTACTGCGAAATAGTAACAATTAGTGAAGGTTAAACTCTGATGAACAGACTATTGGTTGGTGAACCTGCTTTAAACAACATTGTGCTAAATAGCACTGGTAAATATAATATGAATCTTTTTTTACATGATTGGTGAGTGGAACACATTAACACATTAATTACACGATTGTATATGAAGAGTCGTCGAAAATAAAAATACTACCTGTATAATGTAACGGCCTTTCCGAGCTCAGAAGAATGCTTTTCTGACTTATCTGTAACAGATAACAACACAAGCAAACAAGAGGGATAGTGAATAGCGCGACACATAAATATTGCGATAGCAATGCCTAACGTTTGACACTCGGATACTAAAACCGTAATTAACACTCAATAAGAATCAATAATCCAATTTGCGTTAATTAAATCAAAGCAAAATTTTGGCTCGACCACGGATCGTCCGTACAAATCGGTGCATGAAAGTACTCTACGATGCACAAATAAAAAATTACGTGTGCCGAGTCATAATTTGTACATACCTCACTACTTGCGAATATAAATCCGCTAAGCTTATTTAATGCAGCAGCCACAACACATCAGTAGAAGATCAATCAGTACTTTAAGATTGGATGGCCATGGAACACTTCAATGAGTTTCTTGTAAAGTAACCAGATTTTTTTGGTAAAATATGGCGTCGAATTGTTCTTTAATCAGTTACCTAAACCCTCAAGGAGAACTCTTAAAGATTCGGTCATACTTTTTAACCGGTTTCAATTAAAACTAAATCAAACTGTATATAATTTTGTGGATTCATCGAGAGGATAGTAAAGTTTTTCATTTGAATTTAATATGAAATACCGAGAATCTTCCAGCTGAGTGCAATTTATTGTTAATATTGTGAATTATTGCTAGAGAAAAGGAATAGTAGCCCTTTGTATTATTCGGTCAAGGGAGCGTTGAGTATAGCATAAAGAAGTGGCCCCTTAAATTTATTCTCGTACAACTTTAGCAGTAGAGAGACATTGTAGATGAAAGCAGAATTTGGTTTGTTTTAATATTTGTAAGTAGAATTAGGTTTTATTTCTATTCTTGTACATACGTGCGAAATTAACATTACCATTCGCAACAATGGATGTGCAAAAACTAAATTTACTTATACATACCATAGTGACCTAAAGACATATTGGCTAAAGGTAGAGCACCAAAAATGGAATTGAACTCCTGCCGTCCGAATCAATAAACGCTACTGCATGATACAGGGGAAAGGTGTTGGAGAAGGCAATTCAATAAAAAAAAAGCAACTCGTATTCGATTCTTTAATGAAGCGATTATCTATCATCTAATACTCGTAGGTTTTCATTCGGTTTGTTATCCAATTTCATTTTATAAACTCATTATAGAGCTTTTTTCTTAAGCGTGCACAAAGCATTGCAATAAAAGGTATGGAGGCTAGTGGGGGACTTCTTGCACGTTTTGAGTTAGCACGCAAGCTAATTAAGGTTGAGTTAATGAAATATTTACGTACGGAAGTTCATCAGTCAATAATAAGTCACGGTAAATTACAGCTGTATGTGGAAAAAATGGCATTGCGGAAATATGATTGCAGGTTGTTCACTTTGACGTGCAGCTGCGTGGTACGTGGAGCGCGGAAACTTCTGGACCATTAATCGCCGTTTTCGAGCTGGAAAGAAATCTTCCGCACGCAATAAACAATAACGCGTATCGGCCGAGGTGCAATAAATTAAACGTATCGTAGTTGCGGTTACCGTAGAAAAATGTCTAGTAGCGCGATGGAAGAAGAATTTCAAGTTGGACCACACTGGAAGTAGCGAAGAAGAACTCTGGCACGTATTCGTTTTCAGACATATAATCATATTTAAAATGCTTGTCCGTCAAATGGCGCTCTTTGAAACGGAGCCGATCTATCGAAGCAATTTATTTGAATTACATCCCAGGGTAATGATTAAAAATATTGAATAGAAGAATGGGCCGATGTTGATACGTCATCCGCCTTATTTGGACGCGATTCAATCTATCGTAGGTACCGCGATTGCTCTTTATAACACCGGCGCTACCTTCACCATTATAAATGAACACATTGTCGTGAGGTCGCAATTTGACCTTTCGCTAATTGTAAGCCATTATTTGTTGTTCTGTTCTAC